GGGGGGGGGGGGGGATTCCCGGGCGGCAATGCAGCGCGCGCGGGCGGGGGCGGAAAGCAAAGTACCCAATAACCGAAACGCGTATCCATGCCCTTGCCCTGTGGCGCCAAACACTATCCCTGGTTAACCCTCGTCCCCACACTACCACAGGGGGAGCGATCCCACCATGCGGCGATCAAGCAGCGGTTCGAGGAGAGGGTGGGCCGCGCCCGAGACGGCGTCCTGGCCACGCGGCGGCGGCACCACAAGCTGGTGCGGAGGCGGGCGCAGGAGGTGGTCCACCTGAGCGACGAGATGTCGGCGCTGCGGAGAGGGGTGACGGAGCTCGAGCGACGAATGTTCCAGGCGTGGTGACGTCCTTGATGGTGCACGCCAAGCACAAACCAATGGCCGTCACAAATGGAGGTTCATTTGATTGCCACAAGGGAAAGATGCCGGAATAAACGTGACAAGGGGAATCGTGAGCACGTAAATAATCTGTTCCCCCTTTCGTGTGGCATCTACGCAGGAAGCGGGAGTTGTCATCGCGTACAAGCAGAGGCTATATGTATGTGTCGTTAGGTTCTCAGGTGTACTGCTGTACAATACATACGAACGTCGTAGGAAGGAGCCCTCATTTACGTTGGCCTATAGTTCGTCTATTGGGCGTGTTCTCCCTTCGTCGGCTTGGCGTCGCGATTGTTCAAGGGAACGGGTTGGTCTCAATCTAATTTTGTCTTGCTCGGAGGCTACCCCCGGGTGAGTGTTTTGACAAACGGCACTAGGGAGATTCTTTATAGTGGAGTATGGTTAGGGTTAGGGTTAAGCTTCCCCCAAGCCAAGAGGGGTTCCCACTGAGGCTGAACCAGGACGCCGCAGCCCAACACGATGGTACTCCCATGTCTCTCGTTGACGTCTGGAGATAAATGCGCCGCCGTTTCTTCTCTGCATCAGGCGAGATAGTTTGATACAATGATTTGTGCCGTGCTGTTGTGCACACGTACGTCTACGTGCATACGTCCTTTTTTCGAATTGCGGCGGTTGGTGTGAGATCCTGTTCATTCCGGAGGTCGCGATTTGTGTTGTGTTCGCCTCTTCTGTGTGTTCTGTAGAATGTTGTTGTACGCGTCAGCCAGCCAGGTTCACAAGGGAAGAAGGCCGCACAGGAATCCTGTTGGTGTTGTCGTGTTGTTGGCTTCACATTAGAGCCATTCAGATCATCTCTGGTTACATCTGATGCGGGGGCGCCTTTCGTGTCCACAGGCAAATCACGCCCATGGTAATCAAATGAAGAAAAAAAACAGAAAACGACAACACAGGGTGTACATTCCCTGGTCAAAGAGCGACTCAGCCGGGTGCATGCATTTAATCAGCGTGAAATGAGCCTCGTTGATTGGTCAACGCCGACTTTCGCCCTGGCGTGTCCCTTAGAGATGAGCTCGCCGCCGACTTCGCCCGTACGCTGACGGCAGGGTAGTCTTGGGTCCGCCAGGTTGCAATCGGCCTGTGCGACCTACCCCAACGGTACACAGAAGCATGCCCATCCGAGTGACACAGCCCCCTGCCACATGGCATTTTCCGTCATGCGACATGAACGTTAGTCCGAAGTAATAATTTGTAGAGACAATTTTTGGGACTCCTGCAACTGGTACTCCTACCGTCATGAAAATTATTATTTCCACACGCCATCTATTTGCTCGCCATCGTCGTGGGAAACGAGCGGCTCTAAACCCTGACCCTCCTATACTCATCAAATGAAATCTAGCCGTAAAAATCGCTGACTAAAGGCTTTATACACCACTTCTCTTCTCGCTTCTTCCTTTCCGTGCTGAGCGCATGTTTGTAGCTCTGAGAAGCCAATGCCTACAACCCCACCCTCCACCGCCATTCCCCATGATCTTAAAAGCGGTTAATATCTGTTTCTGTAACTCCAATTCTCCCCACCTAAAATAATGATCCTGCTTCCCACCCCCCCTGGTTTCTTCTCCCCCCTCCTCCCAATAAGCCAACGGCCGTTCCCCACCGCGGGGACTCTCTAAAACTATCTACGAGTTTCAGCTCAAGATCCCGCAAATTCGCTGTTCCTGTCTACAGACCGATCCCCGTCTTTGGAACCTCTTCTGCTTTCGCATGCGAGCACACAACAAACTACTCAGAACACCAACGTACGGGGTGCGGATATTCTTCACCGCTTACGGAAAGAAAAAAGAAATACACACACAGAACGAGTGTGCCTAAGTGTCTTATTCGCTTCTAGGGGGGCAAAAACATCAGAAAAAGGAACGTAAGTATACCGAAATAAACACCACCCCACCACTACCAACACGAAAAAAAAAACTAAAAAAACAAAATTATTGCTATTATTGCTTGAGAAAGTTTGGTTACCACGAAACACCGCTCGCAGGTATTGTGTGTGTGCTTCCCCTTTTCACTACGTGCTGCCGTTGCAGCAGAAGCAGGAGCAACGACAGCAGCAGCCTGACAAGTTGAAACTTGAAGCGGTCAATTGCGAGTCAGTCGTGCCTCTCGCCCTAATCTGTCAAGCCCGCGTGCCACCCCAGCAGCACGACTCGGGGACCCAAATCAACACCGTTATCTACAAAACCAAGAAAGAAGAAAACTGACCAACAAGGATCGAGGAACAGGGTTGCCGCGGAAGCCAGCTGAGTACGTCCCGCGTGCGGGCGCCTAGGGGGGATATCTAACTCGCCCTCACCACATGTACACGGCAAGTCAATTGGATGAAAGACCAAACGCAGAGAAAAAACAACTGCACTGTACTTCTCTCGGTCCTTACCTCGCGCAAAAACAGCTAGATCGCGAACGGAAGAGTCAGGAGGCTCGCAACCGTCGTCCTCACTGAACACGCAACCAAACCACCATTGCATNCCCCCCCCCCCCCCCCACCATGTTGTGCGGGGTCGAGAATCCTCACTCCGCGCAAGAGGGATGTTCGCACCACGTTGCGTTAAAATTGGTCAAGCACCCTCGAGGCAGTTACACAGTGCTTACAACCGTCTCAGGAAGTGAAAGCACCAGAAAATTAATGAAGTAATCCGCAGCTGTCATCCGTACGCAAGGAAGTAAGCACAAGACGCCGAAAACCCTTAGCAGGATGCAGCGCACCCTTCATGCGACTCGCCGAATATCTCACGGCGCTTCGCGCTTGGTGATGTGAGAGCCTGGTCCGGNCCCCCCCCCCCCCCCCCACCCCCAACTTCTTGTGCTCGTTCCGGTCCTACAACTCGATATGGAAACCACTGCTGTGCCCAGCACGCGAACTCTACCTCCTGGGCAACCAACACCTGAAACAGGCTTACGTACGTAGGTGTGCGCCATTCCCTCTAATCCGCGAGACCCCTCGGGGGTGGATCAACCCATTCGACATAGAGAAATCGAGAACAAGTTGGTGGGCGGCGGCAGGTGTGGGTGGCCGATCATCGCCGTTGTTACCTACCTATCTGGCTATTGACAAGATTACATCGGCGACAATGACTGGAGGGCCTGACGATGACAACAACGGAAGGGTCATCCGACATAACCAAACAACTCTCGAGCAAATGTGAAGAAGATAAACGAAAAGCATGGGACGAATTTTCATTAAAAAAAAAAGACAATAAAAAATGGGCGCATTTCACGAAAACTACACACCCGACAAAATTGTACTCAACTCACCGCAAAAAGATAAAAGAAAGAGTTTAACAGAACGTGTTGGGCGACAGGTGTCTGAGCCCCTCCCCCCCCTCGCCCCCCCTCCTCTCGCTGCGTACAAAAAAATAAGGTCGGTCAAGGACAACACGCTCACCAAAGAGTCAAACGAAAAAGAACAACTGCACACACATAGCTACATGCGGTTAAATCAGATGCCCGTACTTGTTCCCATTGACAAACGGCTTATGCGACAACTCAATCATCTTTCGAAATTGCCATGATGGAAGAGCAGCCAAACAAGAGGCGTGATGGAAGAGTCTTCTTCTCGAACAAGGTTATGTCTGCCACCCACACCCTCCCCCCCCCGCCCTCCGGGTTTTATCCCGGCTTGCGGCGCTAACTACTAGTACTGCTACAACTATTGCTCTTACTATTACTACTGTAGTAATGGCGAGGCCACGCCTGGGTGTGTGTGACTGCTGCTGCTGCTGCCACGGCGGAGAGCTAACGATCACTCAACAAGTCGATCGAAGCGACCACCCCATTTTCTCCCTCCTTGCAAGGGCCGAACAAAAAAAAAAAGCAACAACTCTGAAGGCGGGCGTCATCCCCCCCCCCCCCCCCCCCCCCC